TTAGTGTATTCTGTGTGCTGTGCGCTGTGTTAGCACCGATATTTTCAGGAAAAAGTCAAATGGATTGCTGCATAAATAATTAAAACAGTCAGCATTTATAATAATAACAATAGTGTTGCATTATGCATGTACTATGCCTAAATAGTAGGCAGGGTTTGATACATACTGCACTCGCCTCCGGCTCGTGCACCATGTGTCAAACCCTGCCTAATATTTAGGCATAGTACATGCATAATGCAACACTATTATATAATTATATACCTGATGCACATTGATTCGTTCTAATTTTACATAGAAAATATTCATAGAGAAATAATAAATCAATTTGCATAAAAAGGAAAGCGTTTCAAAGTAAGTAATCAATAAGCTTACCTTACAACTGTGTGTACAAAATCCTTATGGGGTTCAAACCCATTTGTAGACTTGACTTGGCCATTTACATTTGTTCTATGTAAGACTGCTTTATAATTTGCCAGAGTTCCTACGTCCCTTGATGATTTGCTTGAGAAGAAGTGGTTCACAATTTTCTGCAAAAATAATTTCATATATATTAACACAAACAAACATACACAGCAAAATTTATACACACAAATATTACTCCACTTTTAAGCAAATGTAACAATACATTCTTCTATTACTTTAAAGGAACAATGAATAGTACACATGGAGCTCAACACCAGACCCTACTTCAACACTTACCATACTTGTGTGACACCACTTACCATACTTGTGTGACACATCATTAGAATTAATAATTTAATTAATAATTAATTTCTCCTCCTAGAGTTTGTTCAATGCCTCCCCCCCCCCGACCAAATAAAAAAGTAAATATATGTACATGATATAAATGAATTTTAAGAAGAAGTGTTACCAATGAAAGAAATTTAATGTCCCATTAGGGATACCCCAGTGAATATGAAATAAACTAAAACTATTTTCTACGTTTTAGGGGAGCTGAATTTCGAAAGGATTTTTCCAGGATAGGAGAAAACTTGTTGTCTAGATTTCCAGACATCCCTGTAATGGTGTTCACTGCCACTGCTCCTCCAAAGGCTCAACAGCAAATTATAAGGAATCTTAATCTCCGAAATCCGCAAGTTATTTCCATTAACCCTGACAGGCCAAACATAAAATACAGCACTATTATGCGACCACCATCTAGCCAAACTGAGGAGCATTTAGAAGAGATTCTAATACCAATTATGGAGGGGCTTGCCACAGAGAAGCAGAACTACCCGTTGACTATTATGTATACAGATACGAGTGTTATAAGCTACAGTTATACATATCTAGAAAAGAATTTGGGCAACAGACAGTACATTGGTGACTCTATTCCTGAAAACAGAATCTTCGCACAATACCACCAAACCTATACTGACAAAATGAAATCTTTCATTGTGCAGGAAATTTGCAAAGCTGATAGCAGAATTCGATTTGTGATGAGCACTGTAGCACTAGGAATGGGACTAAATGCCTTGCATGTCAGACATGTTATTCACTACAAGCCTCCAACAACAATTGAAAGATATTTCCAAGAGACTGGCAGAGCAGGACGGGATGGTGAACCCAGCTATGCTACGCTTTACTACAACAACACTGACATCAGATCAAACCGACCAGGGATTGACAAAGCAATAGTGAAATATTGCAAAAACACATCTTCTTGCAAGAGAGCTGTGATGCTAGAGTGTTTTGGTTTTCAACCTATTCAGGGAAATCAAAATTGTTGTGACTTTTGTGATTCAAATCATGGCCAGGAAGCTTCAAGTGTCTGAAGTTGAAGTGAAACATATATCCTCTAGGATTCATACCTCAAGTAAATCCTGTTCCACATGAAACAGTTCTTCAATAACTGGTGAAAACTGTTCTAAACGATCTGATCGACTGTGTGCTCCAGCCCTCAGACTGCGTGCCGAATCAAACGTAACCCTCGTCAGCTGGTCACCACCCAGTGGAATTGTTGCCGTATTTTCAAATTCATCCTCTATGAAATCAAAAATAAATAAAATTCAATCATCTGTTTGAATGTATTGTTCTGAAAATTTTAAGAAACATTATTCAAATCTGTATAAGAAATAACATAAATGAAATTTACTTGTCTCTATGATGATCATAAATATGTTCTGGTAAAATCATTAAAATATTAATAAATTAAACTCTTGTTACACAACTGTAAAAAGAAAATGGCCTTCCTCATGGAAGCATACAATATCAATTTATAATCAGACCAGAAGTCTCTGTCGAGACTGAAGCTCTACTGGTTTGAACTTATAGCAAAGGAAGAGAAAAGTACTTAAGCAGCTGGGATTTGAAACTTTACAACAGCAATAAATAGAATAATGATCGTTGATAAAGTCTCTTTATGTTCTTAGTGTAGTCTACTTATGTGCCAAGTTATACTGAAATCAGACCAAAACTGTACGAGGAAAAGCATTTTGAAACAATTTTACAGATATTTCTATTTTTAGTAACCACGGCAACACCGTTCATCGAAATCAAAAACCGATATACAGGTTAATGTATCTTAGTGTAGTCTACTTGTGCGCCAAGTTATACTGAAATCAGACCGAAACTGTAGGAGGAGTAGCATTTTGAAAGAATTTCACAGAAATTTCTATTTTTAGTAACCACGGCAACACCGTTCATCGAAATCAAAAACCGATACACAGAATTATGTATCTTAGTGTATTCTACTTGTGTGCCAAGTTGTACTGAAATCAAACCAAAACTGTAGGAGGAGTAGCATTTTGAAAGAATTTCACAGAAATTCCTATTTTTAGTAACCACGGCAACACCGTTCATCGAAATCAAAAACCGATACACAGAATTATGTATCTTAGTGTATTCTACTTGTGTGCTAAGTTGTACTGAAATCAGACCAAAACTGTAGGAGGAGTAGCATTTTGAAAGAATTTCACAGTAATTTTTATTTTTAGTAACCATGGCAACACAGTTTACCGAAATCAAAAACAGATATACAGATTTATGTATCTTAGTGTAGTCTACTTGTGCGCCAAGTTATATTGAAATTAGACCAAAACTGTAGGAGGAGTAGCATTTTGAAAGAATTTCACAGAAACCTCTATTTTTAGTAACCACGGCAACACCGTTCATCGAAATCAAAAACTGATACACAGAATTATGTATCTTAGTGTATTCTACTTGTGTGCCAAGTTATACTGAAATCAGACCAAAACTGTAGGAGGAGTAGCATTTTGAAAGAATTTCACAGAAATTTCTATTTTTAGTAACCACGGCAACACCGTTCATCGAAATCAAAAACCGATACACAGAATTATGTATCTTAGTGTATTCTACTTGTGTGCCAAGTTGTACTGAAATCAAACCAAAACTGTAGAAGGAGTAGCATTTTGAAAAATTGTTTACAGACAGACGGACAGACAGACGGACGGACGCCGGACGCATTACTATCGCATAAGCTCTTCTGGTCTCTGACCAGTAGAGCTAAAAATGAACAATAAATATTGAATTAATTACCTGAAAAGTTTCAACAAAAATAAGACCTCAATATTCAGATTGACCATAAATTATGTTACTTATGTAAAACAGGCATTGCAGCGAATTTTACATAATTACGATTTTATCATGGTTATTGGAGTAAGCATAGCACATGTATCAGTTGAACACGTGCTTACTCAGTGTTTATGTAGGCCACCAATTTCAACTCAGGGCCTTTGAACAGGGAGATATAGAATATCACACCACTGTTTTGATCTCGGCCCTGGTATCAGCCCGAGTGGTTGGTATCGGCCCAAGCCCGGAGGGCGCGGGCCAAGACCATCCGAGGGCTGATACCAGGGACGAGATCAAAACAGTGGTGTGATGTTGTTTATATCATATAACTAAAACCAAAGAAAAGAACAACTATTTACTTTTCGATCAAAAAGTTCATATTGTCGTAAGAAAATTAGACTTATCTTTATTATCTTATATTTCTCTTTAATACATAAATATGAATTTTACTCTTAATTCACACAAATTAAACAGAAAAAATGGATTGAAATTTGAGGGCGAGACAGCCCCTTGACGACGGGCCGAGACAGAGATATCTCAGCCCCGAGGGCGAGACAGCCCTTCTTCCGAGGAGCTGTCTCGCCTAGTCCAAAACGCCTGTATCAGGGCTGATACACTACTAGGTATATGATATGGATCTTTATCGTGCCACACCTGCTGTGAGACGGGGCCTCGTTTTATACGGTGGATCTTTATAGCTATATTAAACTTTAAACAGTTAACTTTTTTAAATATTGAGCAAATGTAATGATACTTAGATTTTATTTCTGTTTCAAATCTAATAAGGGAAAGCAATATTTTTAAAACAATATTTTCATAAACAGCCAATCAATATTGAAAATATATAAAGAAGTGAAAATTATCATACTAAAACATCACCCTAAAAATCTCTTTTCAACAATTTTTGTTTGGAGTGTTTCAAACATACATAAGTGGTAAGTCACTATAAAATGTGACATGTATAACAATAAACAAACAATTTGAAACAACGGAAAAAATTAAACTAGAACATTCAACAAGTTGAACATTGGTACCTCTCTGTGCATCATGATAAAATGATTTAAGTGTATCATGAATGATGCTCATGATTTCCACACAGTTTGGCAAATATTTAGGATCCTTCATTATAACCTGTCAATGTATACTTTTTTATTATATTTTTTATCCTTGCAGAATTTTTTTTAAATTTAGATGTCGGTTCATAAGTTTTCCAAACCTATGGTTTTGTTTGTTCAAACAAGGTGCAAAGTTAAAAATAAAAGTCCACACTTACAAACATTGGGTGCACAAGGGAAGACCTGTCAGTTATGCATCTATAACGGTGTTCTAGGACACTGGGGACTTTGTCTTTGAAGACAGAAAGAGAGGTAAACTCTTCGGTAAGGATCTTCTCCACCAGCCAGGTGTAACTACTCCTGGAAAGATTAATACTAATATATATATATACCCCTGGTAATGCAATGAAATTCTTACAAAAAGCCTTTTACCTAAACTGTGACAAGTTTTCCATGCTAATAAATTAATGTACATGTATTAGAATTGGAATTTCAATGCTGTTAATAAATGCTACATCTTTGAAATTTTCCAATCTCAGAAGGGGAAAATAGAATTATGAACTTGCTTGAGAACGGCACACTCCTCATCTGACAAAAAGAAGAGATTTGGGTCTAGTCCATCAGGTGGTATGACCTTGGGTTGTCTGCTGAGCTCTGGGACATCTATAGGTAGTAACCTGTCCACAAGTACTGTCCAGTGTGTATAATGGTAATCTTTATTTCCACTGCCAACACGAACCTTCAATAAAATCCTTTTAGTGAGAAATGTCCAATCAATAACTAATAATTTCTGGTTGTAACAATGTATTTGATTGGATAAAAGAAATTATTTTGTATCCTATAAAATGAGTTGCCTACATCACAATGACTATCAAAAACATATCAATCCGCCTGACGTTACATTCAAATTTTGTACAATTTGAAGTCAATATTTTGTGAGAACTATCATCTTTTTTTCTTACATCAAATGAATGAAAATTAAATTATAAGGAATGAATTAAATAGCTACCCATTTTATATGGTATGAACTGGGTTAAACAGTAAACGCTTTGCGGTTTATAAAGCGTAAACTGCCCCAACCAAGTTTATACCGTATAAAAATAATAACTATTAAATTCATTCTTTAATTAATTTTCTTCCTAGTTTAAGTTAATTGAAATGTGCTGTGTTAACAATGTGTTAATATCACATGTGGTAATACCTGATTAGCTTTAATTCTGCCATCTATGTTATCCACCGTTACTTTAATAGTCCTACCATTTGTCAGAGCTGCACATACACCTTTCCCATTGATAAGACCAATATCAGACAACATGGGTATCTTGCTCCTCTCTGGAAGGGAAATGCCCATCCTGCTTAATAGGTGAAACAACTGAAAGAAAAAGGGAGCTCTTTTAAGTACCAGCCCATAATTATATTTGCTGGTCACAACACATGGTGAAAGAGGGACATTGTATCATCACCCTTGGCTATCTAGATGAGCATTATGAAAATGAGTTAGAATTAATTAATAATATTATACTTTCATGTAAACTAATTGAATCTGATTGCCAAGAAACATTTGTTAAAATACACTATTAACCGATGAATGATGAAGTTATACCCTCTAGTGTAGCAACAGTCAACATTGATTAACAACGGGTGATATTCCAAAATATAGTTACTGCACAGAAATCAAGTGTGCAAGGTTCACTGTTATATGTATTTATATAAAACTTTTAGTATAATAACAAATATTGCATGTATTTAAGTGTAACATTGAAAATTTTCGCCCCAAGAAAACCATTGTCAGCCGAGGCTCATAGTCAAACATAATATGTCTAAAACATGTTAGAAACTGTATGAAAAAAAAAATCTGCTTACCCCATTTCCTGCACCATATCTGATGCATGCAGCAGACAATAACTTTTGCATTAGATTCATTTGGTTGTTCCTTGCATTTAAAGCAATGCTGTACATCGCAGCAACGGCGGGATTCTTTTGCGTTGATTTGATGTGTACTGGTGTGCACAGACTGACTAGAATATCAAACACACGGGGGCATCTTTGGTCCATTTCTCTACATACATTTTCAACAAACAGCTCTGGCGAAATGTCAACAATTTTCTCCCTCAAAACACTTTTTTCACTTGTGACACACATTCTGTCTATTTCATGATTTAAATCCATCACAAATTTTGACCAAAATGCTTCACGAACACCAGGTATAAGTAAAACTTTGTCAACAAAGTCACGCAAACTAGTAATACCCGAGGAAATAATTTCCATAACCTTGTTCATTGGGTTATTACTATTTGTAACATCTGTAATAGGACATTTTAAGGTCAAAGGATGGTGTTTGACATACAGCTCTTCCACATTCAACTTGGGCTGGCCTGCATAGCTGTGTTCACTGAACTCTTTTAGATTTTCTTTATTTTCATTATCGGACTCGGGATAAGAAGTAAATAATTTCTTTCCACATTTTCTGGTAGTGGTATTCAATGACGTAACTCGTTTCACTTTGGGGGAAACAGAATGAACAATGACCCTCTTTTGTCTATTTTGATGTAAGGACAGATTAGCTAGGTTCATTTTGCATTTTTCACGAAGTTCTCTAGCTTTTGTGATTATTGTTAGACATGTATCACAGATATAAATGTTGTCAAGACTGGGGAATTTAACGTCCAACACGGATAAAATGTCTACGTAAATACTTTTTAAAGCTATATTTTTCATTAAACGCACATGTCCTGATGTACTCTTACTGCACACAATGCAGGACTTAACCTGCTTCACTGGTGTGGCGAAATTCATCTGTCCTGTAACTGGTATATCCTCATGTTATTCCGCCATATTTGTAAATCACTGGTGCGGCCATGTGGAGAAATTCATCTGTCCTGTAACTGGTATATCCTCACTCCGCCATATTTGTAAATCACTGGTGCGGCCATGTGGCGAAATTCATCTGTCCTGTAACTGGTATATCCTCACGTTATTCCGCTATATATGTGCCTCACTGGTGTGGCGAAATTCGTCTGTCATGTAACTGGTAAATCTTTACGTTATTCAGCCATCTTTGTGTTAGAAATTCATCTGTCGTGTAACTGGTAAATTTTCACATTGCTTCCCGCCATCTTTGTTTACATTTCGTGAAAGTAGTCCCTACCCAGCATACTGTGCGCGATGTTACACAGGTTGATGTGAGGATCACGTGACCTGGTGTACACATTGAGAACTTGTATTACATGTGGTTTAAATAATGAACTGCACGCACGTTCTGATTTGCAAACGTTAATGTATACTGTTTTTTAATTTTCCCACAACTACTGTACTGCTTTACACTTATATACATCATTTACACGTATACTGAAACAACAAATGTCTCAAATTGTTCCCATAAGCTATTCCTTTTTTGTAGATCAAACAGTTACATGTATTTAATCTGAGCAGACTTTTATACTACCTCCTCCACTACCACAGCCATTTGTAAAACAGAGAACAAATTCATTCCTTATTTTAACTTCCAATTGAATATTCAACTTTGACCTACCTGATCCAACTGGTATTGTCTCTCTGGCTTCCAACCAGTATTCTTTACAAACGGTAAGGGTAGCCCATCGGTCTGGTTTTGCTTTGCTTTCTTCCTTATGACCAGGATGACAGCTCTTTGACTTACTTCTTCGCCATTTTAACCCTAAATGTTTCTATGTCTTTGACATATTCTTAATTTTAATGTACTAGCGTCAATGGAGAAAATAGACAGATACCTTTTCTATACAGCAAAACGATTGCCTCTGGTACGTCCAGAACTTTTCCATACAACCCAAGGGTACGTTCATAGCTTTGGACTAAACGCAAATGATTTGATACATTCTCAGTACATTTGTATAAATGAAATAATGGGGCCTTCACTGCATGAAATGTTTGAAAAATTGCTGAAATCACATTGGTCTTCTGTCCCTGCCATTTTGCAATATCATTTCCCCCCTTTTCATATGGAGAGATAACTCCTCAACACACATTCTATTCTCATTATATTATCTTCCTTGTCAATGCTGGTGAATATTTTTTAACTTTCACTAAGTTTTTAGTTTTGATTGTCTTTTTCAGCATTTATTTTCACTAATATTGAATTATTGATCATGAAATGAAGCAATGTTAATTATATTTGAACAATTCTAAGATACAAATGGAGAGCTTGGCTAACATCATAAGGTCATCATTTCCACCATTTATTTGTTATATGTCCACTTAAATGCCATCAGTGCATTTTTTATATTTGATAGAATATAACTTAATTTTTACAAAGCACATTATTTGATCTAATTATTTTTTTCCACTTAAGCTATAGCACTGCACTAAACATAGATAATAATTCTGAAGTCCTAAATTCAGCCTTACTCGTGGCTAGATCATATATTATACAAGTAGATAAATAAATATTCGTCATCTTTGACATATATGCGTTGATGATATAATAAATAACCGGCGTTGCAAAATTTGTAAAGTCTCAAACTTTTATATTTGCGCCTATTATTTTATGCCAATTATTGTTAAATATAGAAAATGGGTTGTTACTAAAAATAGAAACAAATGACACACTTTCTAAACTTATATTTTAGATCCTGAAACAACCTAGACCTTAAATATATATGATAATATAATGAAAACATCTGTATACCCTCCTGGACGATTTTTCAGATTTTGCATGTTTTTTTCTGAGATGCGCTTTTAGATAGCAGACTTATAGTATCGTTTACTAGGTAAGTATAAAATTCCTGCTATTTTCCTCAAACCTGGATCACCATAACTTTTATCCTAAAATATATTTTTTGATCAATTTTCAATCAGAAAATAAATTGTAGGCGTTTTATTTGTATTTCCTAAATATATGAGATCTACTTATTTTCCCTTAATGATACTAACATAAATGAGGAAGGCTTGGGGAATTTCCTTGGTAAATACACATTACTTTGAGAATTCATTGAAATGTTTGTATTTTCAATTATTTAATGTCTGATTTAAATAACCTGAGGATCGGACTGCCTGAAGTTCAAATCAATATAGAGTTATAGTCTCGAAATGGACCTGCTGATGAGTAAAAGTGAACACATTTAGTTTAAAGGATAATCACCATGTTAAGGTTCTCGCCTGCGTGGCACAATGGTTAGAGCGTCTGCTCTAGAGCGTGAAGAAAGGACTTAATCCTTACGTCGCGGGTTCGAATCTCATTGTGGGACGTGGAGACCGGTCCTTCGGATGAGACCGTATAAACCGAGGTCCCTTGTCGCAGTATGTGTTGGCATGAAAAAGCTCCAAGATTTTCTCTACACCGGCAAGTGATGTCTTCTCCATGAGTGAAAAAATCTCGAGAGGTACGTTAAACAACACACAGACAAACCATATCAAGGTCAAATTTGCTACGTTAGAGTTAGGGACATGTAAGTTAACAATATTGACCCATTTACAAACTACGAACATAGAAATGTATTTAATAGAACCTTGTTGTTAAATGCGTTGACAGTGAATGGTAAAAAGAAGGTTCTGTGAAAATGGATGATTTTTTTTCGTTACGAATAGAGTCAATGGATTAATGTGTTACTGTGTAAATACTGAATTTACTTGGGATGGAGTTACATTAAAAATCAACATTATATATATTCTTTATTTTCGATATGTTAACTTTTTATAAGCCTTGACTTTTGTTTAAAAATACTGAAAATATTTGAAATTATAACGGCTTTTTTCACGAGAAAAATATCCACTAACAATCACTCGTTGAAAAACAATGACATGACAAGTGTAATAATTTAATTAAAAACGACAAATACACTTATACCAATGCTTTCAACCCAAGAAGAGTGAAAAGTCTTTGCACATTAAAATGGATTTTCTTCAGATCCAGGGAATAGAGTAAGGTTAACTGCATGGATAAAGAAAAGTCTTCTATTCTCACAAAAGAAAAAGATATATATCTATATATATATTTGCCGACTAGCACAGGAAGCATATTATAGAATATTTTTCGGCCCTCGTTTGAGCTCTCAATATCTTCTCGTCGTCGGAATCCTCTGCGAAGGGGTTAGCTTGATAATTGCAAATCGGGATTAATGTCGGCTTCCCCGAGATCTTCAATTGTAAAATCTTGATGCGTCTTCTTCGGAAGACGGGCTAGAACTAATCCTCATGCTATCGAACACTTTTCATAGACTTACACCACGTTACTTTAACCTCCAATATCATTGGATAACTTTTTTTCTGAATCAATAAGACAATTATTTTCCGCTAATCTCCGCACCGCGGAAAATATTAAGTTTAATTGGAGAAAACTTAAGCAAAAGTGCAGAAATATAATGACCTGTTTTAACAATGCATATCCTTGGACTCTTCAGTTAAAATGCTCTCTTACATTGTAGTAAAATTACCACATGCACACATTGCTCAGTTTGTCAAAACACCAGGTTTCTGTTTTTATACAGAGTTCTTGTCTTTTAATGTACCGTATAATAGCTTATAATTTACCAATTGGTAAGTGAATGAACATGGGATTTAAAAAAAGATAAGTAAATAGTTTTACAAAATTAAATTTACACATCGAAAATTTTATAATCAGTATACTCGGGTTCAGAAACGCGAGTCTTGAGTTTGTTCCGTTTTCTTCGTATGTTTTTTTTTTCTTTTTTTTTTAATTTGTTGCGTTATATTTTTAAAATTTGTACCTTTATCGGATTTTAGGGCAAGATCAATAGTTCATTTTAGGATTTCCTTAATGCTTTTCTTTTCTTTCCGGATGCAGGAGGGCTTAATTTCTTTCTTTTTTTTTTGCATTTTTATGTACGACCACAGGAAAGTTTCCGGGGAGAGTGGAGAAATCATGTATTTCAAAGTTACATGTCTACTTCTATAACGTATATTTTATGTTTCCTTCTGTTATCCAGTGACAAAAGCTCTTCT